TGATGTTCACAAGCACATTAAAGTGAGTTCTGACAGTGGTGTACATTATGGTACCTTTTGGCCTTGTAGGACTAATCATACAATTGCCTCTTTGCTTTTTCTTGCCTTCAGGGTTTGCTGGACCTCATGATTGCAGAAGAAGAGGAGCTCAAGAAGCGAGTACTCAAAAGTATAGAGTCTTGTCGCAAGGAACTCAGTATTTTGTATAGTGAGCTTCAGATGCCCCCTTTTGAGGTATTTACATTTGAGAAGTGTGTTTGAGTGTTGTTGTTTTTTTTGTTTTTTTTTTAATATATATATAACCAACAAGACGATCTGTGTTAGGCCTTACCGTACCTTTTGAATTTCTTTGCAGGAGGAGGATGGCTGCAGCATGTTGCAGATGGAGAAGAACTGCCGCACACATCTGGAGGTGATGAAGGAGCACAAAAAGCAAAGAATGGAAGAGCTTAAAGGCCTCGTTGTCAAAGACCGAGAGCTGTGTGATGTTATGTGCACTACCCCCTTTTGCATCAACCAGGACTCTGTTCCATCATTGACACAGCTGGAGAGCTATCGGGCCTACCTTGATGATCTCACCAAAGAGAAGGTGTTTTTGATTTTCTGTTTGTTTCTTTAATATTACAGTTTTTGCTTTTGGTTTGTAACCTGTCTCGTCACTGCAGGAGCATCGTCGCAAGGAATTTGTGAGCATCAAGAAGGAGATCATTGTATGCATGGATGATCTGGAGCAGCAGCCAGAGACCAGTTTTGAGACTGATGTGATTTGTGAGGATGAAGAGGCATTTTGCCTGTCGAATGACAACATTGCTGCTCTCAAACTCCTCCTCGGTCAAGTGAGTTTGTGATCTTTCCTTTTCTAATGTGATCCGTCTACGGTATTGCATAGAATAACGTGGATGATTTCTTCTTCTTCCAGTTGCAAAACCGCAAGGCTGAGAATGAGCTCCTTTGTTCAGGTTACCGCACTAAGATTCAGGAGCTCTGGGAACGGCTTCAGATTCCCCAAGAGGACAGGGAAATTTTCTCAGAGCATATGATCAACACAAAGAAAAGAAACATGGAAGCGGTACAAATCTACCTTTTGATTTATGATTTTAAATAATGTGTCTGTTTATTTTTCCACCCAGATCCACTAAGCCGTCGTAAAAGGTTCTGATAATGTGTATCCTGTGTTTCCAGCTCCAGGCTGAGGTCCAGCGTCTAGAGGTGCTGAAAATGCAGAGCATGCAAAGTGTCGTTGAGGCCATCCGAGCAGAGATCGCCCTCCTATGGAAGAAATGTTTCTACAGCTCCGAACAGCAACAAGCTTTTGCGCCATATCATGATGGTGAATGTCTGTTTTAATAACGACTGCTTTATTTCAAACATATTCACCAAAGGTCACAGAGGGAGTTACTGTTCTGGTACATCTTTTCTTTACTCAGATGATTTCACAGAAGAGCTCCTCAATCTACATGAGGCTGAGATCACGACCTTGAAGAAGTATTATGAGGGCCACAAAGATCTCTTTGAGGGAGTCACTAAATGGCAGGACAACTGGACGTTGTACTTGGAGCTTGACGTGAGTGCTGTCTCTATAAGTTTTTTGTGGAAGCTTTTAAAATGCTTATCTCTGGGCATGGTGACATGTGGCTGTATGCTTCCCCTTTTAGAAAAAGGCTAATGACCCTTCAAGATTCAACAACAGGGGTGGGAACCTTCTGAAAGAAGAGAAGCAGAGAACTGACCTGCAGAAAAGTTTGCCTAAGGTGAGAATTTCTATGCTGCTTCAGTAAATATAGCATTACTGTAAGCAGATGCCAGCCTGTAAGATATTCTCTTAGAAGACATTTCAAAGATGTCATATTGGATGAATTGGCAAATAAAAGGAGATGAAGCAAAACTCCATTGCTGTATTGCAGGTTTTGTCCAACAGATGGGGATATTAAATGACTGTCACTCTGTGGTTCAGGTGCATATGTCTGTTCATCAAAAGCATTTCAGAAATTGATGTAATCTGACAGTCCACTGTCAGTGCAGAAGCTGTTAAAAGGGAATCGGCTGAGCTCTACTAATCCAAAAATGCACATTTTGCTGTTCAAAATGGGCTTTATTTAGATAGCCTAGTCAGGGGACACATGCAGCAAAGGGCCTCTGGTGGGTGGCCCTGCATTTCTGCCTTGCTGGTCAACTGTTTATCGTGTGAGTTCAACTGCTTTGGGATTTTCTCTGGAAAAAGAACAGTTCAGAGCAAATCATTAAATGCTCAAAATTACTCTGACATTATGTCCGTGATGACTGGATGTAATCGTTCCTACCTTACTTCAGGCCCACACTGTTGAGTGCAGTTTGAAGCCTTGAGTTTTGGCTCACAGGGATTATTCTCACATTAGACTCCCTCCTCATTAAGTATTGGTATTGTTTCACAGTGGTGTCTGTTTTTTTTTTTTTTGTTTGTTTGTTTGTTTTTTTTAAGTGTACATATAAGAGAAGTAAATGTAATAAGACCCCCTTTTTGTGACAACATAAAAACTGTTATGCTTGTTTTCAGTTGGAAAAGAGTCTGAAAGCCCAAATCGACGCTTGGGAGCAGGAGCATGGCAAAGATTTTCTGGTGAATGGACAGAAATTCCTTGATTATGTGCAGCAGCAGTGGGATCAACACCACAATGAAAAGGAGAAGGAGAAGCTTGAAAGGGTATGTGAAGTTATTGCTGTGACACGCTCTGTCGTGACTTTCACTTCCCTGTAGCAGTAGTTTTGTAGTTTCGCCAGTGCATTTTTTTTTTTTTTTTGTTTTAAATGCATTGTTCTTTGGAAAATAGCAAATGAAGAAAACTAAGCAGATACAAGAGGAAATGCTGTATGGAACGACGGTGAGAACCCCGTCTAAAAGGCGGATAGGAGGGACTCCCACACCTGGAAAAATGAAAAAGGTAAATGGGTAGATATTTCTGTGGTTTTTCTGTAACTGTGTTAATGTCAAACATGAGCACTGACTGAAACACCTTTGTCCCCTGTCCACTCAGCTCAATGGCACCTCAACTTTCTCCACTCCAACCAGCTTCCTGAGTTCAGGCCTCAGTGGGACCATGTGCCTGTCGTCCACCCAGAAACCACCGTTGTCTGCTAGCAAGGTATTGTGCTTCATGTTGTTTTTGACAGTCAAACCATCAGGATTAGATTGGTTTGTTCAGTATCTTAGACAGGTTTGATCATCATTTTTTTTTCATATTGAAACGGTAGAACCTCTTACATTAGTTTGTATCTAGACTCAATGTTGGTCAACGTTTGAGTTTAGTGTGTCCTGAATATGATGCAGACGTTGACACTGATAACTTTTCATTCTACCCAACCAGTCAAGTCCAGTGTCGTTAACTAAGATAAATATACATAATATGAAATGCATTGTTTTGTATGTCAATATATTGGACACGGTGAAAGTGCTCATCTGTCATAATGTCCTATATAGTCCTATATAATGAAAGGGCTTGCCAAAACACATCATCATTCTAGTTGGTCTCATTGTAGGGTCTTGGCCTGCGAACCCCTGGACATGGAAAGGCACCCCGTGCGCTAGAGCGAAACAAGGAAAATATCTCCCACCTTAATAGAAACACTCCAAGTGGCACACCACTAAGGTCTCAGGATACTCAAGATCACACCTTCACCTTTAATTCTATTGCTGGCTCCTATTCGGAATTTGCGGTAAATGGGGTTTTTACATCTGTTTAGTCAACTCAGTAGTAAAGATTATTGTAAGACTAAACATTTGGCTCACAGTTTAAGTTTACGACCAAATGTACAACTTATTTAATTTCTTGCTATGTGGGTGTACATGTATTTTATAATGCAGATGAAATTCCCACATTATGCAGTTGTGATGCAAAGAAAAAGCTACAAAAATCATTTATAACATGATGACAAGACTTTAAGAAACAAAGCTGTCTGCCATCTTTTAATGTTTGAATACATGTATTCCAAATTTCGTCATACAGTCAGCAGTAATTAATATATAGAAAATGTTGATTATTTGTATTGAGATTTACACGAACCACCACCTTTTACATATAAGTATACGTATAGTGTTTGACACATCCACTGGGAGAGCAGGCAGGGGGATTGCGTCAGAAGGGGCAGCCGGCATACAATCAAAGTTACTGATTCATCCACTGAGGCAACCCCCTGTTAATAAAGGGACAGCCAAAAGAATCTGTCTACAATGAATGTATAAATTAAAATAGTCAAAGTACACTAGGTCTTATGAAAAAAATATTGAAATGGCTACGGCCCTGTGCTATAACTAATAAATCAAAAAAAATTCCTGTCATGCCGAAGTTTCAATGACTTATTTGTCTGAGCTGCAGCTAAAACTTTCCACCACATGACTCAAATCTGGTCATCATGAGGTTAAAGGTTTCCAAAGTGAATACATCTACTTAATTTGTCATGTGAGAAAACCATGTTGATACACAAATATTTTACCTTTGATCTTTTGTTGTTTTGTTTTTTTAATATGAAAACATTCATTTGGACTGTTTCTTACAGAGGGACCTCACGAAGTCTTCTAAATCGAATGTAAAGTCAGGACTGCTGAACTCGACTGTCAGTCATCAGTGATGGTTCAACAGAGCTGCTCTGGCACAGAGGGTCGCCCACCTCAGGGGTAGTTTGGTGACACAATGAACAAGAGGGAACTTCTTACAAAAAACTGTAAATATTTTGTCAACATTTCCCTTTATTAGAATTTATTCCAGGGTTTCCTCTGCTCTTTGCATTTCTCTGGCATTTTAATTTTTTTACGATGTCTTTTTATTTGATCCTATTTTGGCTTAAATTAAATATTATCTGTTATCTACAGCACTACTGTTTTACTAAAGTGGAAAGTGGCACCATGATTTTCTTTTTTTGAGCTGGATTGACAGCTAATTTTGCTCCTCAGAAACCAAACATAGGGTGGTTTTATTCTTTTCCTTAACCTGTAAATAAACGTTTTAAAAGCAGTTTGTTCTCTGTGACTATTATTTTCCCATCATTCCTGCCCCTAATTATTCAGCTGAACATGGTTTTACTTCAGCTGAGCGTAAGCCAAAACGCAGTATTTGAATTCAGCCAGAGGTAAATCCTTGCCAGAGTTATCATTGTAATTTTAAAGTATTGTTCTTTCTATAAAACTATAGGTAGGGGACTGGTCTGGTCTGGAACTGAGCTCTCACGAGTGCTCTTCTAGTGAGTGGATGTAAAAGTCCTTCCCTTCTTTTCACTGGAAATGTGATGACTTATTTAAGCCATGCGTGTCATGAGCTCCTCAAGAGCCCTCTCACGGTGATTTTCATTAACAAGCAGCACTTCTTTGATTGCGCTTTGCTGGAAGCCCATCTCATTAAACTGAGCCAACAGGCGTAGGAACTCAGCAGCCTGGAAAAAGAAGATATTGTTTTGCTCCTTCATGTCAAGGTACAATAGGGTGTGACAGGTGCTGACTTTTCAACCTGACTTGGAAAAACTGGATTTACCTTGCTTTCACAGTTCTGAAACATCTCCAAAGCCTCTTCCACCTGTGCTTGGTCATAACCCAGCTGACACAGACGATCGCAGGTAACCAGATATTTTAGCACCTGTCGATAGCAGAAAAAGCATGAATTTTATCCATTTCTGTGTACAATTTTATGAAGTCTATTCATTAACATTTGGGAATGTGAATACAGGATATAGATTGACCTACATACTATTACTTTACAGATGTGTTTTATGTTTAATGCATTAGAAAAACATTGGTTTGCCAAGTATTGCAAATTAGGTGAGGGATAATTGTGATTGCTGTATTTTCTTTAACCTCTTCTTTCTTCTGATGCCATTACTTTTTTTTTTTTTTAAGGATGTGTGTATTGGTTTTTAAATACTTAAAAAACGCATTTATATAAAACAAATTGGCGGCGGCTCAGAAAAAGCATTACTTGAGTTATAAGTGTTCATTGTACAATGTGATATTGTTAAGCCACAGGACAATGGATAGAATAAAGATTTATTTTGATCACCAATTTCATGGTGGTTCCCCAGGAGTTCCCTATTTAATGCCTTGGTGGAAAAACTCAAATTAGTTACCCCAAAACGTCTATAAACTGTTACTGTAACTGTTGTTGAACTCATTAGATAGGGTTCCTTGTTCTGTTCAAAAATTTACACACAGAGTTGAAGTGCCTTTGAATATTTTACGTAATCTAGTTGGATAGAAGTATGGACAGCTTTGAATTGTATTGGGGTGTGCTGAGCATTTATAGAGATACTGTGAATGTTTACCAATCTGCCTGGAATGACTCTGAGGATGGATCATTTACATTTTGTTGGATGCTGTAGAGTTGAGACACGGCTCCTTTGGAAAATAGCTTAATTTTCAGGAGACCATCCAAGACAGCATGGCTAGTCTTCTGTTCATCTTTAAAAAGGATACATGTCTCAAGTTTGCGCATGTCTTTCAGTTTTTCAATTGAAAGCTTGAATGTCTTCTGTAATTTTTGGAAAGGGGAAAGCTAGCCCTCAATATAGATGTCTCCCAAATAACTTATACCCTTCTGCCTCCAGATTTTAAACACACAGTCCTCCAAACCTGGACTGAATGCTTGATTGAAGCATATTGGTGACTCGACATATACCTTGGGGCCTTTCAGTAGTAAGAGCACCTGAGGCCAGACTTGATGCCCAGTGTCTTTAATTAAAATACAATAGCATATATCTCATCCCACCACTCATAACTGTGATGGTGGGCTAACAAGGAGACAGATACCATTCATGCTCACTTTCACACCTATGGCCAATTTGGATTCACATGTTAACCCAACATGCAGGTATTTGGGCTGTGCAAAGAAGCCAGAGAACCCACACAGGCAGGAGAACATGTAAACTCAACACAAAAGGCTCCAGCAACTACTGTATCACTGTGCCGCTCTATCCTAAAAGTTTTAATTTCAAGTCAGAATTTACTCAGTCAGACTTAAGAGTTCACAGTTTCGTTGAAAAATGCAATCATTAAACAGCATGTTATAACCCCAGTGTGTTATGTACCTTTTCAGGGCTCCTATAGCCTGTCTTCTGCAGCGCCAGAATAGCTGTTCTTAAAGGGTAGCCTTTCTCAGTGATTGTTTCAAGTAACTCTCTCTCTTCCTGGCTGAGGGCTGTCAAAAGCTCTGCTGCACAGTCGAAGAAAACCCCCCGAGAGGCACCGCTCGTCAGAACCTGATGATGACAAGGGAAGACCAGGCACAAATAATAGAAAACAGCTTTACCTGCTTCAAGTATTATATTGTTATGTGACGCTCTCAGAAAAACCAACCTTCTTTCTGCGGTTTTTTAAAACAGGCCCTGCAGAGGAGGGTCGTTGTTGTTGTTGCCTCGGTGGGGAAGGTCCAGCGGGTGGTGTGTTTTGGGAGAACTTCCTGCCTGAAGAGCGCTGCCTCTTCTTGATGTTCCTCTGGCCCTGAGGGAGCGGGCTGGCCTGCTGTGATCTGTGCTGCTCGAGCACACGCAGAGGCTGTCTGCACTCTTGGGGAGAAGACGTGCCCCTGTGACCTCTGAAACACTGAGCTGAGCCAGTCCTACAGTTGTGAGGGGAAGCAACAAAGTGCATGTCTTTGACTCTGGAGATCGGGCCTTTGAGTGAAGCGCTCCGGGGCCGCTCCCTGCAATTGATGAGGTGAGGGGCATCTTCAGTAGAGGACATTTCATTGTCCTCATGATAACCATCTTCATCATCAGAGTCAGATACGAGGAACTTGACGGTGCGATGGCGCAGCCAGTGAGCGTCTGCAGAGTTCAAGCTGTGGCTGCGGGGCCGAGGGTTGGGGACCCACTGATCGCTGCTCCTGGGAGTGACTCTGTGACTCTCCTTAGGGCTGCTGAACATCAACCAGTAAGGTGGGCAGGATGGAGCCTGGCAGACTGGCTCCTGGCCAGTTAAAATCCATCTCTCCAGGTTGAATCCGTACTGCAGAAAAATTATAAAGATTTGGAGCATTAGCCCTTTTTCACAGCTGACATTAATAGGTGTACTGTGTAGTATTCAAGTGTGAACATGACCCTAAATATACTAATTTTATCATACAACCTGTGCTTTTCTTCCAGGGGAAAAAGACCTATACCAGTAATGTTAATAAGGTGCAATAAAAACCATTTTCAACTTCACAGTAAAAGCCCAATCTAGCTCTTTTATTTGAACTTAATCCTTCATTACAGTGTGCATATTGTTTCAGGAGAACATTGTCTTCAGCACTGTTTAAACTCTTATTAGAATCTGTAACTTCAGAAGTGGATTAAAATGAAGAAGAAGAAGAAGAAAAAAAAGCTTTGCTAAACTCCAAAACTCAAACCCTGGATTTTAAAGTAATTAAACTGAGAAAGTAAAATTGCAAGCAGATACTGTCCAAGAAAGAACACACAGGCTCTATATTGAGATATTTTTGGAAATGTTTTTTTAATGTTTGACCTCAGTTTCCTTCATTATCTGTCGGCAGTCTGGTAGAGTAATGTCCGGAGCAGGCAACAGCTGCATTTCTTCCTCCAGTGGACCCAGCTCGGTCTGAAACGGGACATCTTCCAGCATGTTCATCACCACCAAAATGCTTCAAATCACCAACCTGCATCAGAAGACATGAAGATCTCCTGTATCTTCAGCTTTAAGTTTTAAAAGAAAGTTTTACTTTTTGAAATTTTTACCTTGGTCAGATATGTTCTTCCAGGTCCACGGTCCTCTGAAACAATCGGCAAGTGTTTGGAGTAAATGACTCACAGACAGCAGACGTGATAAACCCCTTCGCCACTAAGCCTCTGACATCATTGGGTTTGTTTACCAATACCTCAGGTGCCTGCTTTAACCTCCTAAGACCCGAACTCTTAAACGGCATACATTTTTAATTTCTCTTTGATATTTGGGCATATTGGGGCCCAATGAATGTAAAAACAAAGAATTACCAGAATTTTTTATTTATTTATTTTTTTTACCTTATTTTTGTTTTTAGGAAAATAAGAGCCACATATGAGGATATTCGTTTAAAATTTTAGAACAGTAGCAGTATAATGTCCTCGTAAGATATCAGGCCCTTGTAGAGCAAAATTGAGTATTTTGGTCTAAATAACCCAAAATGTGATGTCCACATATGTGGACGCCAGGTCCTAGGAGGTTAATCCCACGGTCATAGAGCCATAAGAAATATATCAAACAAACATATCAAAATTAAACCATATAACACCAAAACATATTATACATATATTTTGAAAAACAATCTAATACAGTTGTCTCTAACATTTATAAGTATTATTATTAAAACTTCACTATTTTATCCCTTTCAGCAGATTGTATTATTTTCCATCTCTATTCAAGGCCACACTAAAGACTTTGTACGGACACTTTGTGACTTTCCTGTGTACTAGGAGGAGGATTAGGGAAATGCTGAGGTATCAGGAAACAAAGCACAGCACAATACTTTCCAGAGATTAGCTGATTACATAAAGGTGACAGCCTAACAGTGCATCACAACATTGTGATGTCTGTTGCATTCATTTATTTTAAGGTTTTAATCGCACCTCAACCTTAAATGAGAATGAAAGAACAAAAAATAAATAAATAAAAAATAAAAAATTGTACAGAGATATACATTTTATTTGTACACTTTAAACAATCACAATAAATTTAAGATTCACAAAAGTTTGGGGGTGGGGGGTACAGGTTCTGTAACAGACCTCTGAAAACTTTAGTAAAATAAAATGAAGCTTCAACCAAAGGGGGGAACAAATCTAGTTTAATCTAGTTTGAAAGCACAAACAGCATTTTAAAGACAACAGCAGCATGGTTCAGTCAGCGCATTTAAGTAGAGGCTTGATTACAGACGTGTACTGAGGTACCATTTAGTAACAGGATATTACATCACTAAAGGTAAGGTGAGCTTCCAACAGCCAACCAGGCAACCACAAGGAAAATAAAAAAATATCCATGCTGCTCTGAGGGGTGTTTGACAAAGCAGGTTTGGAGAGGCAGCCAGCATTAACAGGAAAGAGAGCATCTGAACACGGTTCAGTTTTTATAAAACAAAACTTCAGAAGCTATTTCACTGATACTTCAAAGTGACCCGGCTAACCAGCTCTGTGAAACAGCCCTCTGTGAGACAGAGGTCTGTAAGTAAACACTAATACATTCCCTAAAAAGTGTGCTAAAGGAGGAAGCCAAAAACTGAAAATAACCATTCTGGTTGTTTAAAAGGTCACCATTGTGTCTCACCTGCTGTAATTAGTGTGCTGGTGCATTATACCTCACAATATGTTCTAATAATTAGAGGTCATGTCATACAAACTGCTTACAAATGCTACCTAAGCAGCGTGCCTAAACATTTACAGCTGATTTCACTGTGTGCACCATTATTACAATGGTGGTAAAGGAAAAAGAAAACATCAAAAATATTGATGTGCTCATGGAATATGATGCCCTGATGAGGCATCAGCTAACATGTTAACATCATATCGGGTCTTTCTTTTCTCAGCATCCCATGTTTGCAAGTGTACAGTATGATCCCATAATTTCCATTTGCTTCCCTTGCCATTACAACCCCTCACTACAAAAAAGAAAAACAAGCTAGCTACAAATACATCCATGAATAAAATTTCATTATCTTTATATAGATAAAATGTTAACAATCCCCAGAGATTGAAATATTTTAAGGTCCACCCTGTGAGTGCACCACTATAGAATCTACATCTGATGCACAGGACCCAAGGCTGTTACACTCTCTTAACTTCATCACAAAAACCCTCCCCACCAGTGTCCACAGCTTATTCGTCAGGGGCTTTAATAAAAGAGTTGGTACCAAACTTGGTATCCAAAAGGTTCATAGTGATCTAATGATTTGCGACAGCATGGCCTTTAGGGTAAAATGGTTCAGTTGTTAGCAGCGTCTGCCTGTCTAGGCCAGTTGTCCTCCTCGATGCCAGAGTCGTATTCCTCTTCTGCCGAATCCTTGGCAGGAGTTCTGAAATTCAAATAAAGGATGCAGGTCGAGTTTCAGTTACTGAGTCGCCGTGTACTCGGTGTAAGAAAACTGATCTCTAGCAGGTCCCATCTACCCCGACACTGTGAGGAGAGGTACTGACCTGACATATCTGGGTTGGGATTTTCCTTGGACAACATCTTTGTCCAGCTCAACAGCCATGATGTCAGAGTGGGGCACCTCAAACATGGGCTCAAGGAGGAGTTTTTCCTGTGCATGAAGACAAGTTTTCACTTTACACCACAACAAAAAAATAAAAACCTAAGTTTGGCACCTTCTGTAAGAATCACATACCATGATGGATCTGAGGCCACGAGCTCCAGTTTTCCTCTCCAAAGCCATTCTTGCTATTGCCCTCAAGGCATCCTGAGTCACATTGAGATCACACTGAAACAAAAGATATTGACCATTTAATTTTAATTCTAAAAATCAAGTCATTTAAGTCACAAACACAAATGTATTATTATGTTTCTGTACATCTGATCTAACAAAAGAAATAGAGGCTGTGTTTAGAGAGACATGATTTTTTGGTACCAGTGAAACAAGAAAGTACATGCATCAGATTACCCTCTAGAAAGTGTTCGTATTATAAATAAAAGCAGTGTGTGCAGATATTTGAGAGGACAATGCTGTATTTTGACTCAAGAAAACCCTACTGTGCAAACACAGCAGCCCAAATATGAGAGTGTCTACCCCCCACCACCCACACAGCGTTGTAGCAACTACAATATTAGAACTCCTACTTTGTCCATGCTGAACAGAGCCTGGTACTGGGGCACTACAGCATTGCGTGGTTCAGTCAAGATCCGGACAAGCGTGTCTTCATCCAAGCTGTGCAGAGGAACGATAACGGGAAGACGGCCAACAAACTCTGGGATCATTCCAAACTCAATTAGATCCCTGGCCTCGACGTGCTTCAGCAGCCTGTCCTTCTCCTCGATCTCTGCTACGGTGTCTGTCTCGCCGCTGGTGTTTGCCAGATCTGCAGCAGCGGCTGCGCGGCGCCCTTTCCCCAGGTTAGAGGGAGTTCCAAAACCCAAATACTGGACAGACATGAAACACAAGGAACATTTTAAAGGCAGGAATAACAAACAGGCTGAACACCTGCTGGCGTGCAATACGTCTGAGCCTTGTCAAGTTTACCTTTTCATTTTTTCTTCTGCTAATGATTCTGTCAAGTCCATTAAAGGCACCAGATGCAACAAAGAGTATGTTTGTTGTGTCGACCTGCACAGTTTCTCCTCTCAGTTTCCTGGAGTTTTTCTCAGGAACGTTGACAACTGTACCCTCCAGAAGTTTAAGTAAACCCTGACAGAGCAGAAAAAGTGAATGTAAGTCTCAGTTGACCAATACAGAATGAAAAGGACAACAAACAGAAAACCGCAAGGTCATAAATGTAAACAAAATCTGTCTGTGTTCGCACAAAACAAAAAATAAATAAATAAAAATCTCAAAACATTCACCTGGACTGTCCTAAAACTTTAACAAGGAGGAATAAATCGAACATATGATCTCTAAATTTAATAAAAGTATAATCAAAAATAATTTGTTGCAGCCTTTAAACAAACTGCTGCATAAAGTTTGCACACTAACCTGCTGAACTCCCTCACCACCCACATCTCTCAGCTGATGGATTCCAGGAACACTGCCAATCTTGTCAACCTCATCCAGAAACACAATACCTGCACATGAAACAGGAGAACAAAGCTTAATGTCTTACAAAGACACTGCCTGAGACACTTCTTGTCTTTGATGAGCTTTCTGTGGATAACTGCTTAGTATTTTCTTCCAATTTCATGCTTTCTGGTGCATACACCTCACCAGTATTCATGCTGAAAGCTTGTAAACATGCAGTGCAGAGTACAGTGCATGTGTAAGCTAACCTGTTAATTTAACCTGAAATCCAATTAATTTAAACCTGTTCCTCTTCTTGTCAGTATATTCAACATAGTAAAGCCATAAACACATTCTTTAGCACAGTCAAGGATGCAACATGAAAAAAAGCATTCTAGTTTTTAGATGTGTTGTAGCAGAGTAATTCAGTAATGTATATGAAAGTGAAACAGCATTAATCTTCTCAATGATTAAGCTTCACAAAGTGGTTTTCCATATAAGAGTCCAGTGGTACCATTTTAATTTGTTTATACTCTAATCTTTTCTACTCCCAGTCCTCTAATCTAATTACTACTGAGTTTTGGCCTCGCAGTTGAGGCCTTGTTTTTATAAAATACCACTGTGATTGCTTTCTTTTAGGGTCACCATAAATTAATCTGTTAATAATCAGGTTCATTAATTTGTACAACAATGGTTTGTATGGTAAACCAAACATTGTGACATTCAAATATTTGCTCATTAATCCAACACTTGTCTTAATTTTAATTTTTATTTGAGACTTCCTATATAAAATGAAATATTATTATTAATTGCATGTTAACATTAAAGAAACAGTTGGGTGGATGTGAGGGGGAGGAACGAGATTATGTTTGTGTTAGATACTGCTGGTGCTTGCTGCTTGTGCTCAGTGTTTTCAAAACAGGCCGTTTCTTACTTAGTAAACATACGTATCATTCTGACACTGGAAACTCCTTCTGTAAATAAAGTCCCTCTGCCCACCTTGCTGTGCTTTTTCCACTGAGTAGTTGGCATCTTGCAGGAGTTTGGCAATAACCGACTCGATGTCCTCTCCCACGTATCCAGCT